GGAAGGAAGGGAGAAAGGGGAATATGAAGGTGAGGTGGGGGAGGGGAGGGGGGAGGGAAATATTTTGCGTGCACAGAGGAGGAGAAGAAGAAGATAGAAATGAGGGTGAGAGCGCGGGGGCGGACTGAAAAGACAGCGAGAGTGAGAGACAGAAATAGAGAGAGAAAGAGAGAAAGAGCTATTCTGGTAATGATACTGTTGCCATGGAGACGCTGTCCTTAGTCAAGCTACTCCACAGGTGCCTCCTGGATGTTTTTGAAAGGACTCCCCTGATTGGTGGAGGTCTTTAGAGAGAGGAGAATTGATTCCGTGACACGGGTGAAGGTTAAAGGTCATCCCATTACCCTCTGAATGCTTCATAACATCCTTTGTTGCTTCTTCATCTCTTAATGGTCATGATATCAGTCAGTTAAAATAAATAATAATATACAGTTTACTGCTTAATACAAAATACATGTTACACCAATTTACGTTCCAATTATTGTTTTTGCAGTTGCAAACAAATAATTAACTTTACTTTGGCAATGTCCACGACTCACTCAGTCCAAGGTGCTCATAGAACAAACTGTGAAACTCCATGAACTGATACACTTTCACAAATATCACAGACTAAGGTGAGAGACAATCTGGTTAAAATTAACAAATCCAAACACAGAAAATAACGCAGCATGTCTGTTACATCCACAGATCAGTGTTCCTATAATTGCGACCTCATACTGAACCAGTGGGTGTTTGTAAAATCCCAGTCTAATAGAAGCATCACAGGTTCAAACCCACACAGGTAGAAATCAGTCCAGTCACACCGACGGAGAGCCAAAGTCTTCCTCATCACACCGAGGACGGAAGGATGAGGGGAAACTGTCGCCATTAAAGGTTATAAGAGGATAAAAGATGGAAGGAAAAAAGAGAAGAGAGAGAGCATCATGTGAAAGGATGGAAGAACATGTCAATATTTAACACACACACACACACACACACACACACACACACACACACACACACAAATGCAGCAAAAGGAGCAGTGGTGAGTCAGCCAGTGAGTCACAGGAGAAATCAGAAATGTCAGACAGAAAAAGAGCACACACACACACACACACACACACACACACACACACACACACACACACACACACACACACACACACACACAAGCATGCTTGCACACACAGCTGCAGCCACCAGTTTTTGACATTAATAACAACCTTGACAACTGTTCTTTTTCCACCTTCTGGGTTTAGGTAAGAGTGGAAGAAAGCTGACACACACACACACACACACACACACACACACACAGTGCACAAACACAAACATAACAAACATGTGAGGCCCCTTTCCACCTGATTTTCAAACCTGTACCACACATTCATTTATTCATTCTTTTTCTATTTTAGTTCACATATTCAAACATGAAGCTTCTCCGGTTCCCTGCTTTACCCTCTGAGACCCCCCACAGGGACCCAAACCCCAGGTTGAACACCACCCATCTGCCTGCTGTAAAGAAAGCTGCAGTTTTGTCCTCCTGAGATGAGGAATAAGACTGAGACTGCAGCGCCCTCTAGTGTCTCAGAAGGGAGCTGCACAAACTCTAACTGGCAGACTGTGCTGTAATACTCAACTGTCTTCACCTTTAGTCAATTAACTTTAAGGTGTGCAATCTTAATAAAGCACATTTTACATTTAGTAGTATGACTTCATCAAATATGATGCATGACGGGCAAACTCAAAAACTAGAATAAGAGGAATTAAAGTCCAAAATGACTCCAACTTCCTTTATATATAGCTCATTCAACAACCAGGGTGAAAGGTAAAAAAAAGGTAATACACATCATAGTAATAGTAACATCTGTTCATATAAAACGTGATAGGAAAGCCTAAGAGAAGAGATGGATGCTCAACAATGATTTTAAATATCCGAGAGTAGGATCAGATCTTATATGAAGCGGTCTGCACTTGTCTGGTCTTAGTTACATCTGCTCTTGACTGCAGAATGTATTTTATATTGGTTGCGATATATAAAATGCAAATAATCACCTATATTTTTTTATTTCTTTGACCATTTTTTTGTGTTTTTACTGTTAATAGTTAACCTCTCAATTAGTACAATACTTTCACTTGTAGGCCTATCCGTTAGCTTCTACACTGCTCAAAAAAATAAAGGGAACACTTAAACAACACAATGTAACTCCAAGTCAGTAACACTTCTGTGAAATCAAACTGTCCACTTAGGAAGCAACACTGATTGACAATCAATTTCACATGCTGTTGTGCAAATGGAATAGACAACAGGTGGAAATTATAGACAATTAGCAAGACACCCCCAGTAAAGGAGTGGTTCTGCAGGTGGTGACCACAGACCACTTCTCAGTTCCTATGCTTTGGTCACTTTTGAATGCTGGCGGTGCTTTCACTCTAGTGGTAGCATGAGACGGAGTCTACAACCCACACAAGTGGCTCAGGTAGTGCAGCTCATCCAGGATGGCACATCAATGCGAGCTGTGGCAAGAAGGTTTGCTGTGTCTGTCAGCGTAGTGTCCAGAGCATGGAGGTGCTACCAGGAGACAGGCCAGTACATCAGGAGACGTGGAGGAGGTCGTAGGAGGGCAACAACCCAGCAGCAGGACCGCTACCTCCGCCTTTGTGCAAGGAGGAACAGGAGGAGCACTGCCAGAGCCCTGCAAAATGACCTCCAGCAGGCCACAAATGTGCATGTGTCTGCTCAAATGGTCAGAAACAGACTCCATGAGGTTGGTATGAGGGCCTGACGTCCACAGGTGGGGGTTGTGCTTACAGCCCAACACCGTGCAGGACGTTTGGCATTTGCCAGAGAACACCAAGATTGGCAAATTTGCCACTGGCGCCCTGTGCTCTTCACAGATGAACGCAGGTTCACACTGAGCACATGTGACAGACGTGACAGAGTCTGGAGACGCCGTGGAGAACGTTCTGCTGCCTGCAACATCCTCCAGCATGACCGGTTTGGCAGTGGGTCAGTAATGGTGTGGGGTGGCATTTCTTTGGGGGGGCCACACAGCCCTCCATGTGCTCGCCAGAGGTAGCCTGACTGCCATTAGGTACTGAGATGAGATCCTCAGACCCCTTGTGAGACCATATGCTGGTGCGGTTGGCCCTGGGTTCCTCCTAATGCAAGACAATGCTAGACCTAATGTGGCTGGAGTGTGTCAGCAGTTCCTGCACGACGAAGGCATTGATGCTATGGACTGCCCCGCCTATTCCCCAGACCTGAATCCAATTGAGCACATCTGGGACATCATGTCTCGCTCCATCCACCAACGCCACGTTGCACCACAGACTGTCCAGGAGTTGGCGGATGCTTTAGTCCAGGTCTGGGAGGAGATCCCTCAGGAGACCATCCGCCACCTCATCAGGAGCATGCCCAGGCGTTGTAGGGAGGTCATACAGGCACGTGGAGGCCACACACACTACTGAGCCTCATTTTGACTTGTTTTAAGGACATTACATCAAAGTTGGATCAGCCTGTAGTGTGTTTTTCCACTTAAATTTTGAGTGTGACTCCAAATCCAGACCTCCATGGGTTAATAAATTTGATTTCCATTGAAAATCTTTGTGTGATTTTGTTGTCAGCACATTCAACTATGTAAAGAACAAAGTATTTAATAAGAATATTTCATTCATTCAGATCTAGGATGTGTTATTTTAGTGTTCCATTTTTATTTTTTTGAGCAGTGTATATAAGATAGGTGTCCAAACTTTTTTTTCTTGCGGGCCAAAATTGTCGTGTTAGAAACGCTCGTGGGCCACAGGGTTGTGGTTTTTTTTTTTTTTTTTTTTTTTTTTAAATATAGTTGAAAAAATAGTAAGGCTTTGTAGATCAGACTCTAAAGAAACCCTTTAATAAAAGGAAATCAAATATTTTGATTTCTTCGTTCTACTTTATTTGGTTTTTTTCTCAGAGCCTGTAACATGGTTCATGTAGCTCAGGTCATTAAATGGTTAAACAACAGTCCGCTTGTTTGCAAAAACTTTGCATACATTTTTTTTTTTCATAATTTACAAAAAAATAGTAAAATCTGTAGATTTAAAACATGTTACTGAACATTTTCTGTTTTCTGCGCTTGTTAACATGAAAAATAAGATAAGGTGCCGATCTTAATCAATAAAATCTTCTGATTCTTCATTTGAAGTCACGGGCCGCAAAAAATCCCCTCAAGGGCCGCAAATGGCCCTCGGGCCGCACTTTGGACACCCCTGATATAAGAAATAAGTGGCCTAACTTTAGCATACATGGGTACAACTCCAATGATAAGCCTACATTATCACTTTTATATGCACAGGGGACTTTATTTGAACAATAACCTTCATAATAAATGATTTACAAGAACATGAAAATAGAAGGAAGAACTCGTGCAGGTGAGTAGTGTTAGCATCGTTAGCGTTAGCAGTGTTAGCAGCAATGCTACAGATGTTATAAGTTCATTTTCGTACATGAATTCAGTTTGTGTCCGTTTACATTTTACCTGCTCCTCCTCTTCCTCCTCTAATGAGCCGGGTGGATTCACTGACAGACTCTCCTCCTCCTCCTTCTCCTCCACGTCCTCCTCAGCCGTTGTCAAGGCAACAAACCCTCTACGCCGGCCGGAGCTGTTCTTAGTCATCCATCCGCCGCATCTATCGCCGTTTTATTGACGTTATTGTGACGCAAGTGACGTCACTATGACGAGTTGTAAATTAAAAGCTTTACGGTAGTAATTTTAGTTATACCATTTTTTTAAAAAAACAACGACTAATTAAAATAAAATAATGATGGTAGTTGTTATAAAATATTAATGATTATTATTATAATCAATAATAATAATAATGTAGGGCTCTATGTAAATATTACATTTTTTTTACTTTTACTTTTACGTTTGAGTCCCAGCTGGCAAATGGGTTGGGCTTGTAGGACAACCAAAACACACACACGCCCCCACACACACACACACACACACACACACACACACACGCACGCACACACACACACACACACACACCACACACACACACACACACACACAAACATTAGACACACAGAGGGAGGAGAAGGCGGATCTGTAAGTAGAAACAGGACTTCCTCGGACGGAAAACGCAGTAAGTCGCCTTATTTAACATCATTTGTCTCATCGTTTTCCTCTCACTAAACATTCCTCTTACAGGATTATTATTGTTAACATATCCTCAAAGTAAAACATAGTGTTTGGTCATGTGCCAGGTGTCAAGTGCCTGTATTTTTCTTGTGCACCCTGTGGCTGTGGCGTTGTGTGTGTGCAGTAATAGCCCTGTGGTGTGTGTGTACCTGGTGTGATGACTGACTCAAACGAGGGGATAATGAAGACTTTCAGCGAGCTCTGCTGTGCGCACAAGCTGCGATAATCGGGCGAGCATGCACACAGAAATCCATTCGTTTTCTCCTCCATTTCTGCTCATGTCCTCGCATAACTTGCTGCGACACTTTCTGCCAAACGTCATGGTTAGTAATTGTTTACACTGTGTGACTCGACTGATAGACACACGCGATAAAAGCAGCAGGTCCAGTTTGTATTATCTGTTTTTTTCCACTTCTTCAGCTGTTCAAGGAGCTGAGTGCTGCACATTTCACGCGATCTTATCAAAGTGCTCATTAGTTAAGGACTCTGTCAAGACATTAGTATCTCCACCTGAGTAGCCTTAAGACCAAAGTGCTTCCTACAGCCTAGTTCATTTTTCTATTTATTTAATTTAATATATTAATTCATGTAAGGAACCTACACAAAATAGTCCCTCATTTAAAGCTCCTGTTAGGACATTTTGGTTTGTGTTGAGTTTGGCGCCCCTTGTGGACAAAGGGACGGGTCCTGATCGATCTGGCCCTGTACTTGTGTATTAAGTGTTTCCTGATAAATAATTAAAAAACGTAAAATGTATCAGTCTCTCATTGTCAATATTTGCTGTAGAAAATGTAAACGAAAAGCCCTTAAATGTTTTAAATCGTGTCTGACACCAACCCTGTGGCTGCCATAACATTACAAAAATACAATTAAAAATCGTCAGTCTTGCAGCTGATAGTCTTGTTTGCTTCGTAGGTCGTAAAGAGGCATACATTTTAATTTCAGTCTGTTTCATAGTCAGCTCACAGGATGGAGCTTCAAGTTGATTTTATAGCCATACAAAATGAAAATACATGACATAGTGTTTTATGAAACTCAAATCAAAGATGAGGTAAAAACAATCACCTCCCGATGATGTTTCTTTTTCATTCAAAAGATGTCTGCTTTTTGCTTTTTTGCCTGCTCCGCATATCATTCGATTGATCTTTATATAATCAGGTTTGTCCCATTCAGATCAGAGAGATCAGCCAAGAACAGCAGCACATTTCCTGCAATAAACAAGAAAACACAGGCAGTTAGTTACAGCAACATTTAAATGATCGGATAAAACTTTCAGCCTGTACCAAATGATACGTGTTGAAGTTTAATATCAGCCTGTCTTCCCTAACGCCATGTGGACTTTGGGAACAACAAATTGCACAATGTCCAGAAAATTAAGGTTACCATTTCCATCCTTCAAGATTAAGAGAGCGGATAAGTAGGTGGGAATTTTGCCCAGAATAGCTCTGTAAGTACAAACAGTTACAAGCCCCTTCACTGGCATGTTTTCCGATTAGAAAGGAAAAACTGGTGTTATGAATGAAAAGCTGCCGTGCTCACTGTGTGTCGGGTAATGTTTGGTAATAAAAGGCGCGCTGTAGTAGGGACAAGTCACTGGAAAAACAACAGTGGAGCAGCTTACCTCGGTTTGGTAGTGGAGAGGTCTCCAGGAACATTTGTGTGGATGAGGCTAAGGTGGAAAGGTAAGAAGTGGAGAAACAAGTGTGTTAAGAAAAATGCATATACAGTAGGTGCAGGACAGAAAAATGTTTATCTTCATAAAAAGGAGAAGGTCTTTACGCTGTTCAGCTCCCAATGAGCAACTTTATATAAACAGCGTTTCAATCAAAGAGAGAAAGAAAATCTGAGGAAGAACTTTTGGTGTTCAAGAACTTACATTCAGTTTGGTTTGCATTTTTAAAAAGTTTGAGTTTGCTCAGCTGTTCTTGTACTATATTAAATTTTTGCTAAGAGCCTGAGCAATAAATGATAATATCATCAGCATAATAAAATCAGCGAATAGTTGATACAAAGCAGCCAACAATAAAACCACATTAACCAAAATTAATTTAAAAATGCTGCATTGTAATTCACAAATCCAGTCAAATATAATCTCTATGCATGAATACTTTATTCAAAACAACTCAAATTAGGGTCATGTATGTGAATTAACAAACCTATAAATAAGGCGTTTGGGATCGTACTAGCTGATATACTTCTTTAAAAAGCTGAAAAGCTCATTCTACTCGCCTTGAACATTAAATAAGGTGGGATGTAATACTCAGTCATTACATGAATGTCTGCTATTTAAACCAGGTGACTTGGCCTCGCTCTGTTTGTGCTTTCTCTCCCACAGCTCTTCTCGTTTATTTAAGCAGCAGTAACAGACAGAGGCTTCAGCTGAACTCAGTTCTGTTTCTCTTTCTCAGATCATGGAGGATCCTGCTCCACGCTCCGGTAGCTCTTCCTTTGTGTGGCTGGTGGGAGCGTCACAGGTTGTGGGTTTGGCGTCGGTGGTGCTGACTGGCGTGTGGATGGGTCACTACAGAGGGGGTTTCGCCTGGGACGGCTCAGCGCAGGAGTTCAACCTGCACCCTCTGTGCATGGTGCTGGGGCTGGTTTTCCTGCAGGGCGACGGTGAGTAGACTATGAAGTGACTCTTATTTAGATCTCAGATCAAACATGCAGAAGGTTTCAAACAACATTAAAGTCTAAGTCAATACTGGTGCAACAAAAAAATAGAAGACCTAGGCACTAATATTGGATAATTTCTTGTTTTTAATAAGCAGAAAATGTCAAGCTAACTCCTGCACGACATTAGAAACTTGTGATCGAACAAAGTCATTTTAATTTGTGAAGACCTTTTGATTAAGGAAAAGCTCCAACGTCATACTTCTGTCATTTTCTCTTGGCCCTCTTTCCTGTTGTAAATTCTGAAATTACAGTACTGAATACAACCGCAAAGTTTATTTATCAACTCATCACCAAACATTTATTCTTAGGAAACAAGGAGCGTCTCTACCAATCGACAATAACATCCATCTAATACTTATTGAGATATGTCAGTCCCGACCGTAGCAGCGGACAATCATGCGACAGAAAAGCTCCGCCGATAGCATGGGTACAAATAATCCAACGAGACAACATGTGAGACATCCCGGCTATCACCACTGACATCTTCAGATCAACCCTGCTTGTCTTACATCCTTATGTTGTCATGGTTACGCTAAATCGGTTTGCGGTAAGATTCTGTAAATTGAGTCAAACTGTAGGACAGCGTAACATGGAGGCTGTATTTCAATCAGTCTGTTGGTTGTGTGTGTGTCTCTGGATGTGTGTTTGTGCGCTTTAGCCTCAAGCAGTGTGGCTCTGGCCTTTTGCATTAAGATAACACTGCACAGAGACACCCATCACTTCTCAGCGCCCCGCCCTGCAAGAACAGATTTTTAACAGAGAGAAGAAGAGAGATCAGGGTTGGGTCCAACAGTTTTGGCAAACGCTGTAGCAAACAAACACACCTGTTTCATGCAACGACTGGTCAGGTGTGCCCCCTCCCCTCCCTTAAACATACCTGATTGGTCGATTTGCTCACCCGAGTGAAGGAAATCCTCTTTTTGATTTTGCACAGTGCTAATTTGACCTTAAAATGGACACTTGAATAATTACCATTCACCAACAGAAAGCTGCCTTGAGTGTTGACCTCGGAGACAGAGCAATCCTAGCTCCCAGCCGAGTCCCAACATTATTTGTGTTCTCCTGTCGTCATATCGCACCACTAAAGACGCAGAATAAGCTTTATGACCTTGTCATGACTGAGCTGACTTGTCTGTCATCTGATAATTAGTAACTGTCAGCATACTGACGGCTTAGAGAGTGTTGAGAGTGATTTAGAGGTTGTGGTTTTTAAACGTCAGTCTGAGACAGTGAAGGGTTATCTAAGGTAAAAGGTTGTGGAGGTGAGTTAGAGGGGAAACTACGGCTGGCAGGTTGAACTGGGGTTGATTGATCTTTTATGTAATTTGAAGCAGGGCTGTCAAAGCTTAAAAAGTGATAGTTAGAGATGCACCGATTGGGAACATCAGGGCTGATTCCTAGTGTTGTAGTCAAGACCACAGTAACCGAGACCACGACAAGACCAAGAGATTTAGGGATCAAGACCGAGTCAAGACCAAGACCATAAACATCACTGAAAAATCATCCAGTACGCAGCGGGCGTGTCACTCACTTAGACAGTAACACCTGGAAGGTTGCGACCGTAACCGGGGGATGAAAATCAAATTATGAATGCACTGAACGTTTTCCTTCTTATCACAGTAATCATGTAGAAAAATAGCCTGTCAATGGTGGTCTTGACCAGTCCTGATTTTAAATCCAGAAGCTGTCCAGTCTGAGATCGAGACAAGACTGATTCTAAATGCTTTTGATTCCGAGACGAGACCTTCAGAAAGTCGATTTCAAGTACTACAACACAACTGATGTTTGTTTCATGACTCCCACAATGCCGACATTTTCTCTCATGTTTGTCAATGAAAACATGTCAGAGTTTGTCCAACAGGTGACTTCATCATCTGCCCGATAAAAACCCTCTTCTCTGAATCAGTAGGTAGGTGCACTAGATGTCAGCATTAAATTGATTTGGCAGAATAAAAGAACATCGGCGACTGACATCAGCCCATGCCACATTATATGTCGATGTCTGCCAACAGAGCCAAAATCTGCAGATACCGATGTTGAACCTTTGCTTCGTTGCATCCCTGTGTAGACTAGCAGAGAAGTGTTGTGATCATTTGTCTTCTTGACTGTTAAATCTGAGTATTGGTCCGTTTTTGTGAGGAGTTATTGTCACCATTTGTCTGTTCTTCGTCTGTTGTCCCACAAATGAAGACAAAGTAAGTTGCTGTTTTTCCTCCTCTCCGCTCAGCGCCTGCAGCTCTGCCTGCTTACTCCAGCTAATTGGAGTAAGCAGATTAGCTCAACTGTTTCCCAGCTGTGTGTGTCGGCGCGAGATTCAATTAAGGCAATGAAAGCAAAGGGCAGCTGGACATTAGAGCGCCTCTGACAAACACCTCAATGCTCATTCATTGTGATTAAGTCTGCTTTTGTTACCTCGGGCCGCACATTCACACAAAAGAGCTCTAAATCATGATCTCAGCTTAAAATCTATTTGAACACCTGAATCTCGTGAAGCGGGCATGGCGACTTCTGTAACAGCTTATCGTTCGGCTGTAAGGAGGTCAATTTTTACGATCATGAATGGCACAAAGAGTGTGAAAAGAGTTAAGCAGCGATGTGTTGGCGAATGTTACAGAAACAAAGGATCAGGCATCAAACTTTTTATGAAATGAAAGAAAAACATCAACAGGCTCAGATTATTGTACAACATGCACGCCTTCTCTGTGCAGGCCTGAAAGTACATGAGACATACAATCCTTATAAAAAATTAGTACCTTCTTTATATGGTCCTTAAAGCATCACAAATTGCTGCTGTGTTGAAACCAGTATGTCCTCCTTCTAACTTTAGATTCTGCTCCTGAATGCTCTGGATTTGTTTGGACCAGAGAAGGTAGGCGCTTTTAAGACACCCCCCACACGGCCCGTTTTGGACGCCCCTCAGTTTGTCAGATATGAGAGCAGTTATCAGGTCAACAGGTGTTGCAGCGATGGAAGCGGTCAAGAGAAGTGGTTCAGATAGAAGTGATTGTGTAGAATTTGGACTGCAGTACTCAGTACTTAAACGATACACCTTGCAAACTTTGATTGACTTTGTGTTTACTGTTTTCACAAACAGCCATCCTGGTCTACAGGATATTTCGAAATGAGCCCAAGAGGAACGTCAAGATGCTTCATGGCATCATTCATCTGCTCGCCCTCATCTTAAGCATCATAGGTGAGAAACAGAGAGAGGCAGGAAGTGTGGAAGTCCAGGTGTTACTCTATACACCTTCAATATTGTTTCTGTGTGTGTGTGTGTGTGTGTGTGTGTGTGTGTGTGTGTGTGTGTGTGTGTGTGTGTGTGTGTGTGTGTGTGTGTGTGTGTGTGTGTGTGTGTGTGTGTGTGTGTGTGTGTGTGTGTGTGTGTGTGTGTGTGTGTGTGTGTGTGTGTGTGTGTGTGTGTGTGTGTGTGTAGGTTTTGTAGCTGTATTTGACTTCCACAGAGCAGCAAAGATCCCCAACATGTACTCTCTACACAGCTGGTGTGGGATGGCTACACTCATCTTATTCTGCGTACAGGTACACTCTATCACACACACACACACACACACACACACACACACACACACACACACACACACACACACACACACACACACACACACACACTAAATACAGTTTAAATGTGGATTAAAAACTATTTATCATCATCCTTCTGTTTTTCCTCAGTGGGTGATGGGCTTGATGTTCTTCCTGTTCCCCGTTGCATCGTCATGGTTACGAGCAGCATACCTCCCCGTCCACGTGTTCTGCGGTCTCGTTCTGCTGGTCATGGCCATAGGGAGCTGCCTGCTGGGCATCACGGAGAAACTCCTCTTTAGCATCATGTACGTTCATTTGAATGTTCCTGAGTGAGAATCATTTAATCCCTTATATGGACCTAGCCTGTAACCAATGCAGAAGTCCCCACATGGTGGTCAGATGAAAGAAAAACTTGGGTGATAAAGTAGGTCGTCTGTCAAACGGAAGGTTGGGGTTCGATCCCCAGCTCCTGCAGCCACATGTCCGATGAGTCCTTGGGCAAGAAGACACTTAACCCCAAATTGCTCGTTTTACAAGACGGCTTGTAAACGTGTATGAATGGGATTAGCTAATACTGACGAACAGGGAGTGTAGTGGCTATTTGTCCAAAAACAAGATGACCACTGATGCACCATGGGGGATGTGATGTACGCAGGCAAAAGAAGTCCAATGTCCATGCAAGAGATCTGCGGTTTTTTGCTGGTTTATTTAAAGAAAGCAAACAAAAGAACCAAGAAAATCGTGTCTCCTGCTGCCTCTCGTAGGCCCACCCAGGTGCATGCTGGTCCTCTACCTGCCTCCGGTGCCCACAGTGTTACCCAAACACCTAACAAAAAAAATACTAATACAAAACTAAATTTAACAAATAACTAGCAAAAGAAAATATTACCCAAAATCTATTCTAAATAAAGAAAACATGTAGAATAATAAAATAAACAACACCACCCAAATATTAGTAAACTAAATACCAAAACTAATTCTAACAACAATTAAATAGCTCCAACAGGGAGGTTACCCTAACACAAGCCATCCATTCATTGTCCAAACTGTTTTCACGTTTGGGGTCTTGGAGGATCCGATCCCAGCTGTCATTGGGCGAGAGGCGGGGTTACACCCTGGACTGGTCGCCTGTCAATCACAGGGCCAGACAACCAGACACACTCACATTCACACCTACAGGCAATTTAGTGTCTTTGACTGTGGGAGGAAGCAGGAGAGAACCCACACATGCACGGAGAGAACATGCAAACTCCACACAGAGAGGCTCCTGTCCAATGGAAAAAAACAGGAACCCCCTCGCTGTGAGGCAACACCGCTAACCATCACATCACAAACCACCTTATAATATTCTCTATCGTATCTTGCCTACGTTTAACTAATGTATGGAAGCAACCAGTGATGATGCTTGTGAAATATATGTGTTGATGTTTTGTTTTCTGATGCATCTCTCTCTCTCTCTCTCTCTCTCTCTCTCTCTCTCTCTCGACCCAGGCCGACCTACTCTGCATTTGTCTCCGAGGGGGTCCTGGCTAACACCTTGGGGATCCTTCTGATTTGCTTCGGGGTGCTGCTCAGCTTCCTAATCACCAGGGAGGAGTACAGACGTCCGCCAAACCCGGAGGAAGAGGCTCTGTCCGTCCACTTCAAGACACTGACCGAGGGAGGCTCTCCCAGCTCGCCCTGACCTCGACGAAAAACATCCGCCCGCTCCAATTTTATTCGTATTTATACAAGCTGTTTCCTGCCAACAGTCTACCTGCGCACTTCATTAGTAAACATTTTAGTTTGGGATTTTAAGGAGACTCATGTCGTCAACGCTAAGCCTCTAATGTACACTGCAACACTTCAAGCAGAAATATGAATGACAGGTTAGAGTGACTCCAGATACACTTGTGTAATTATGGGCTTTCACTATAGTTTAGCACGGTCCTAATTAACCATATTCCAAAAACAGCTGTTTTCTTTGACCTCATGCTCAGGATGGGAAGCTGACACCGTGTCCTAACAGCACGCAAGAGTTTGATAAAGTGTTGCGTCACAAACGATCGCACGGTCGCTGTCCACACCGCATCAGTTAAATATTTAATGTTCTGCTCTGTGGATTTCAGTTTCCCCTTGCCAACATTTTGACGTGTTGTGCTTTTGTTTGAAGGTGGACAAAGAGACGTGTGGTGCTTTGTATTGATGAGCTGTTGACTCAAATCACAACACTCAGACGCTCGTCAACAAACGGCTCGCAGTGAGCCAGATAAAGTTTTTGTTGACACAAGTCAAAGCTCAACATTTCAATCATGGACGTGGATATTAATCATGCACTGTTATCTCAACTTTGTCAGACAAGCTAACGAGCTCTGTGAAGTGAGAAAAGCGAGTGACAGTGCCTTGCAGAGCCTCCTCTCTCTCGTTCCTCGTCTATGTGAGCGACAGAGAGGAAAATAGAATCGTAAAACGGCGCCCCGTGACTGACTGACTGCGTCGCTCGCAAGAAGCGATTAAAGCGATTAAGGTGAAACGATCGCGACTTCTAACCTTGACCTCAGTGGCATTAAAACTATAAGAGCTATTCAGCGTCCCATCTGGAGCATGATGTAAAAGGAAAATGGCTGTTGTATCTGGTTAATAGTGACCCATGTATCTAATTAACTCTGCTTTTATTCTGCTGCTATTTGCCTTACGTTTGCTATTTATATATTCAGAATCTTTTGCATCAAATATATTTTTCTTTAAATATTGGAAACTTAAGTAAGACTTAGGCCATGGGTTCATTAAACTAACAAATAACGCTGTAATGCAAAATCTTTATAGATCTTTAAAGGAAGAATGTGCGACTTTTTGAAACAGTAGATGTCGCCCTTGAGCACCAGCATGAAACCAAAACAAACTGCTGTTTGGCCACGCCTCCTCCATGCTGAAGCCCCTGCTCTCCTCCAGAGACACACCTCCAACCCCGCTCCACTCGCGTTCACACCATAATTAAGCGCAAGCGGAGGACAAATCGTCCTTTCCTCGAGCTGCTCGCTGTGGCCTGCATTGTTGTGTTAGCATGCTAATGTTAGCGCTCTTTAGTTAGCTCGTAGCTTCACATTTCATGTACATTAGCACAGAATGAGTGTGATCTAAAATAGCTTACGAGACATCCAAATAATCAGTGAGTATGTTCTTCTTCTCTCTAGTTCTTGACTAAAACAGCTTTTATACACAAGGGGAGGAGCCGGCCGTCCCGTCCATGTAAACACGGCTCTGACAACAACACAGCCAGCGGGACTCGAGCTTCTCCCTCATTGTAGACAGTCAGGACTCAGAGACACATTTAGACAGGAGAGACTTGGTCTCTGATATATTTATGTTTTATAAATGTCGCACATTCTTCCTTTAAGTAAAAAGTTAAAATTGAAAACTCAATATTACATTATTTATATTTATTATAAGACTATTAATTGCACTCTAATTAAGTCTGCCTTCGGATTTTCCACAGTGTGAAGCCTTGTCACTAGTTAGTCCACATCGTGTCGCGTGTGAAGATGTACTCAGTTTGTCAATTTGTGTTTCAATGATCCGTCATGAAAGAGTATATCTGTCCAGTGTGTATTTATGAATGTATGTAATGAGAGTTTTGTTACTTGATGCTTTTTAATGTGTGGAACCAAATAAAAACACGTAGCTTCAGATTGTTTGCTTGACTTCGGGACTCGGCTCTTGTGCCAAATACAAAGCTTTTACCTGTAATGGAAAAATCTACATTGTTGAATGTTGTTGTTTTTTTGTGTCAAAGTTGTCTATTAGAGGACGTCCTCTTAACGGGACAACCTGAAATAAACATAACTGTGTTCATTATTTTTATTGGTTCAATGTGTTTTTTCCACATCGACATATTGAGACACTGTTCATTTCTTAAATCACGATTAATCTCATGCTATTTTGTCCCTTCAGGCTCTCTGTAGATAGTCGTCCTCAGTGTCTCCCTGTAGTCACAATGATGTAAAAGAAGTACACTGCTGCATCTTTGAGTGTCTCACTTCACTTTAACAACCATAACCAAATAACTCGATAGCTCTGTCAGTGTCCAACCAACCGAGCTAGCTTGGTGCTAGCTTATTCAAAGCGATCTTGTTATATAACCTCGTAGTGACAGTTAAATAAACTATAACGGCTTTTTCTGGTTAATGGAAGAAAGGCAGAACGAGACAAAGGAATAAAGAAATACATTTCAGGCTTTCATTCATGTTTATTCCTCTTTGTCATTTTAATTCAGCAGTTAGTTATTTCACATAAGCTGAAACATTCATCTTGGTTAAATCGATGCTTTTTCTCATTACAGTAACCATTCTGGGTTTTAAATATTAACTTATTAAAAACACAAAACACACACACACACACACACACACATTCGACATCAGATCCAACAGGTTGGAAGGCGGAAGAACTTTGCTGGTTTACCTGTGGTTTCAAATCATGTGGCTCAGGACCCATTACAGGTCGGGGGGTTACTTTCTACATGTACAGCACAACAAATCCATCACACAGCATTGATGCGCCATGAAATGTTGCTTACGTTCAGTTTAATCATTTTTTAGCTCGTTTTGAACATCTAATCAATATGCTTACAACACATTTTATACTCAAACAGGCCAGAGATACGCACAGTCTGACTTTGAAAATGGCTTTATGAACTAGAGTTGTTGACTGTTGCCACGTCTTCTCACAGCTGAAAAATCCTGAGCAGTAAGAAATAAGGGCACGGAGATCGTTACTATCAAGAGGTCATCGGATCAATCCGCATCAGGAGCTCTGAAAACAAGCTGCTAATTAACCAGAGACCTAAAAACAAGTTATATATATATATATAAAAAAACAGTTAATGTCACAAAATCCATTTTCAAAAAAAGCCAAGCCCCACTTCCTGAACACCTTAACTGATGTTAGCCCGTTAGCTATTGTTCTGTCGCTATGCTTATCAAGCTCTATATAGCCTAGCTTAATATGGAGTTTAAAAATCCAGGGGTTAGGGGGGACAACAAAATTCAGACCTCTGTTAAAAATGCAGGAAAACACAAGTAGGTTTCTTCTTTAAAATCTAAATTAAAAACGTTTGCTAGCTGTTTTTCTAATTAACTGCTAGGTACCTTAACAAGCTAACACACGCAGCATGATCTGGTAACTTTTCGTCTGACTTTTTAAAGTTTTAAGCTAAATGACTTCATGAGAAATTCCTATAACTGATTTTGATGTGCTCTTGAAGACTGAATTCAAGGTTTTGTGCCGAAAAATCTAGGGCAATGTGCTTATTTTAGCTAATCCATCTCATCTAAGCTAATTTAGCTAACATTATCATCGCTAGCTGGTTAGAAAATCCTTCTCTGACTTTCTTTACAATCAACTTTTTTGTGTGAATCTTATAAGAAGGATATTAAATGTTGTGCTTTCCGTGATTACATTTATGAGCCAAAAATCAAAGGTACAGTTTTTGGGGGTAAGCTTATTATGCTAACATAAGCAGCATGAGTCGGCAGAATTTTTAAAACAATGCTGAATAAAGTAAATGTTTTGGTTTTTTTACATGTTGCTCCAGAGTTTATAATGTTGGAAGGTTTAGGACTCCAAAATATATAACTTTTACCACAGCTCCATGAACACATCTTCAGGATATGGAGAAACCCAGAGCTTGACAGGCAATTCTGTTCCTAGTTATCGTTTAAGCTTTGTTGGACATTCAATTTTGTTAAAAGGTGTTCAGCAAATGGGGCTTTTATTGAGTTAACGGCAACTTGTAGGGAATGTAATCACTCCACCTCCATGGCAAACAGTCTAAAAGACCCAGTTAGGATCCATGTGGTTGCATAAACTAGGATTTGAAGGACTACATAATATAAAATGAGTTTATAGAAAAAAGTAATGACCCTGTTTTAAAGAAAAGAAACACCCACAACCTTGAAAAGGCATTTTAACAAGAGGGGTGTTCACCCAAAAAGCCAAACTGAACTTTTATTTAAAGTCTCAGTTTTGTCTCTTCAAAGAAATATTTTAATGTTCTGTGTGGAAAAAGCCCCACATGTACACGCATGGACAAATCAAAAAGGAGTCTACAGTTTCAAGAGAAACCCAATTTATACAGTTTAATACAGATATACTTTACAAAGATAAATATCACATGTTTTTGTATATACAGCAAGTCAGTGCTTTTTCAATGACATCCTAGTTTTTCAAACTATGGCTTGGGGACCAGGTCACCGACTAGCACAAGTCTTGGAGACTGGATCTTGCAGTAACTGTATACAAGTTTCTAGTCATTGTTTCACTTTTAGCACTTGAAACTTGAAATGAAAATCTTCATAAACATTCACAGACTTCAATATTTAAATGCACTGTAAGCCGGAGATGGAGTCTTCTTTTGTGTTTACTTCTGATTTCCTTGACATCTTTATACTCTTCATTTTGTTTTGTAAGTTGTCTTGTGTATGTATTCCCTTAGTCTCGTCCTCTTGGTTTCTTTTCTGTGACTTACTAGTTAACGGACAGTAAAAGGCGATATGCCTCCTATACAATGTCTATGTTCAACTTGTGCTTTCATTCATCTCCTCTAAGCACCAAAGGATGATTTATGCTTCTGATGAAATGTTTGTCTACAATCTGACGACATGGCAACAAAGCCCACCTTTGAGAGCATTTGGCAAGTAAAAAAGTCTCTCTTTTTCTTTGCTATCACTTTCCATGTGAAGACACAAGATCTTAAAGCCACGTACAGCCCTGTGATCAGAATGCCTTCAAGGAGGAGCCTATAGTATGTGCTGTTATCCCAATTCCCCAACAATTATTGTGCCCATCACACATGTCGTACAAACTCCCCAACGTACAAACTCCCAATTGTACAAACTGCTGTACCAGTTGTATGAACTACCATTCATAGAACTAACAGAACAGTCGTATGAACAACAAGTTGAAAAACCACCCGTCATACTGCTACATTATATGATCCACCAGTTGCACAAACTACTCGCTCTACGGGCTACAAGTCATTGGAACACTTGTGTTTCAAGTGTAATTTGACAGGCCTGGAGATCATGGAATTTGAGTGCACCCATCTCTAGACGTTCTTTGTTTATCCCTTTCCCCCTGTTGTCCATGACAATCAATCCTTATACATTGGATTCTACAAAGGGTCTTTTTGGTTTGACAGGGGAGGTAGGGCCTTTCTTTCTGTCCGAGCAACCATGGATCACCGGCAGAGTTCTAGCCAACTTCACATCCAGGTAGGAAGGATTCTGTCTGGCAACCTGACCGCCTCCTGGCTGCATCTCGTGGTAGTCCGGCTGGTTGTCATAAAGGAGGTGACCATTGTGGGCATTGTTGTTGCTGCGGTTGTAGTAGGCGATGGAGGACGGCTGGGGTTTACATAGGCCTCCTTGGTTGGCGGGGGTTTTGCTGGGCGAGCTTACCACAGTGTCCACTGAAGACACCGCCCAGGAACGAGACGGGCTGAGACAAGTCGAAGGAGAACCGGAAGGAGGTTGTTGTGGAAACTGCTGGTGGACCCTTGCAGTTCTGTCAACAATGCCCATAAAAGGAGTGTTCCTAGACGAGCGTCCGGCCTCTCCAGGGTAAGTCCCGCCTCCTATTCCCATTTCTGACTGGGGAGAGGAAACCAGAAAGAGGTCGTCATGGTAACCGGTAAACCCCCCCGCAGAACCCAGATCTGAAGGTAAGTCCATATGCTGGGTGGAGGCTGAAGTCCTAAAGCCCTGGCCGGGAGTGGTGAACTGCGGCGCACCAGCAGGATTGACCCCGCTAGAGGAGTAGCGGACACTGGTACTCTGCGAGTGGACAAGAGGCTTTGGGGGAGGAGCAGGAGGGGGGATATGGTGGGTACTGACCGGGTGTCTAAGTCCTCCCTGGTGAAAGAACTGATAATCATGAGATGACAAAAGGTTCTCAGGAGGCTCTAATGTCGCCTCTGTAGCTTCAATGGGGTAATAAGCTGCTTTTGATCGGCTGAACTGATGGGCCTGGACGAAGCGATTGATCGCCCCCTTGTCCCCTCCTCCGTCTCTAACGTAAGCCGGCACAGGTCTGGTCTGGCAAACAAAGTCAACATCCATGCTGTCTGGTGGAAATGGAGCTCCAGAGCTCAGACTAGCCTGGACCTGCATGCTTGGCCTGAAATCTGGATTACTGGGACAAATTCCCTCCCCTAGTTTTGGAAACTCTTGAGGAAATTGGCTGAATTGGGAGTAGGCAGAACTTCCCAAAATGGTACTGGAGTGGGCTGAGGAACTGGGCTGATTGGTTCTGACAACCTGGACTTTCGCTGGTTGGAGCCACTGACTTTGACCCGGGTTCTGAGTTTGGAAGGTTCTAAGATTGGACGGATGTTGGTGGTGCTGCTGCAGCCCGGGGTTCAGATCAGAGTGGTGGTGGGACGAAATGGACTGTGGGTAGTGGTGGAAACCTCCATGTCCTGACAAATTCTCCGACGTTGACCCCTCATACTGCATCAAAGAAGGAGCGGTGCTGAAATGGTGATAGGATGAGGATGAAGGTGGAGGCGCAGGGTGAGCGGGTGAGGAGGAGGAGGGGGAGTAGCTGGAGCTCGGTTGGTGACGATACAGGTGAGTGGGGGAGATGGAGGAGGAAAGAGGAGGAGCTTCACCTTCTCTGTAACCCCCCTCATCCTCTTCTTCCCCTTCTTCCTCAGTAAGTCCATCCCTGTCCTGCATCTGCAGACAGCCTGAGTCTCTGCTCCTGACATCGTTGACGCCAAAATTTGGTTTAGAGACGTGATGATGTGCTGGAGGTGGAGCGGAGTCTTGTTGTTGTGCAGCCTGACGACACTCTTCTTTAACCCT